CATGTCACAAGGATGCACAGGCACAGCCCTGCAGGGTGCAGGGTGCAGGGTGTGGCTGAAAGGGCCTCCCCAGGGTGGCAGCCAGCTGGAAGGGCCTGGGGCCACCTGCCTGTTTGGGAGCCTCTTGCTGTGGGCCTCTTGGAGCCAGGGCTGGCTTTGCCGTCTGACTAAAGTGACAATGAAATTAATGGGATCCTGATGCCGTGACTAAGGCAATTTCCCTGTGTCTCCAACAGGGATGAGAGAGGAAATGTCATTAGGACGCCAGGAGGCGTTTGAAATCTTCAAGAGGGACCACGCTGACAGCATTACCATCGAAGACAACAAACAGATTCTGAAACAGAGGTAAGGCTGGCTCAGGGAGCCGCTGGCCCTGCAGGCTGGGCCGGGCCAGCGAGAGGAAACTTGCTTCTGTCCCCTCCAAGCTGCCCAGCCCAGCTCCTACAAGGAAGGCACGGCGTTTGCTGTCTCAGTGAATTACACCCAGCCTGGTGCGGTTCTCCAGGTGTGTATGCCTCATCACCCCCGTACAGCCGGGTGGCAACCTCAGGGGCTGTTTTTGGCAGCACGAACTATCTATGCAAGTCTCACCATTGTACATTCATTCTCATCGGCTTGTGGTTCTATCACTATCTCACTGTTCCAAAGGCAGGAAAAAAAAAATCTATGGACTCAATTATAGACGTAGAACTCCAGGCCTGCAGCTGCTATGGAGGGTGGTCCAGCACCTCTTAGTCAAAGAAAGTGTACAGACGCACCTCTGTGACCCACAGGCCCTGGGTGCGTTCTCCTGGCCGCAGGCAGAGCCGGCAGCACCGTCTGCTGACCTGCTGTGGAGCAAGGCTGTGTTCTGGGTCCTTAAGAATAAGCTTATTCTTTGTTCCAGATAACCCATGAATTAGACACATATCCTCAAGCCGTAGCAAACAGAATGACTGCCAGGCGTGTGGGTCCAGAGCTCAGGGGAGAGTTCTACACTATAAATATGTCACATGTGGCTGGATCTTAGCACACGGTAAATTTTCAAAAACTATTTGTTGAAGTAAAATGAGATCCAGGATTGAGAGTCAGGCGTGAGCAGTGGATGAGCCCCCGCAGAAAAGCATGTGGCAGTGGCAGGGCCTAGAGGGTAGAACCACAGGGGGAAGCTCGAAAGGACAGAGAGGGAAAGGAGGCCACAGTGGGGCCTGAGAAGAAGCAGAGAGAGAGGAAGAGGGACAACCTGGAGAATATACTGTCCTGAGGCGAGGGGAGGCTGCTCCGGGAAGCGGCCTGGTGTCCCTTGCAGCAGATGCTACCGAGAAGTCAGCAGGTGGTGCTGGGAAGCACAGGGAGATTTGGCACCTGAAGTTTCGGAAGTGACAAAACAGATCAAAATAAGATGAGCAAACAGAGAAAGAGAGCAAACAGTGTGCTCAAAACGTTCGTGATAGGTGAGAGACATTTTTATGAAGAAGAAAGGGAGGAGCTTAAGGAGCAGGGAAGCCTGCTTCAGGATGGGAGAGAGTCGGCCAAGGCTGGAGGCCTCAGAAGCAAGCCCGTGACGAGCAGAGAGAGAGACGGGAGAAACAGCCGCAGCAAGGCTCGGGGGACCGGGGGTGGGGGTCTGGTCGGGAGGGAACCAAGGGCAGGAGGCCTGAACAGAACAGCAAAGCGAGATGCGGCTGACGTGGGTACACTGAGAAGCGGAGGGGGGAGTTGAAGGGGACCTCTGCTTCCTCTGTGCAAGTTGATGCAGCATGAGGGGCTTGAGGGTGGTAACGAAGGTGTAGAACAGCTGCCACGGGGAGTGGGAAAGGAGGCAGGCTGGGGAAAGAGAAAGGAAATGCGATCGGCTTTGAGAGCCCAGCTTCCACTATTAACTGACAGTTTTCCACTTGGTGGGAGGGTGGGGGCAGATCTCAGATCCCCAGGAGTACAGTGAAGGTGATTGGGGTGTGCCCAGGGGGCTGTCTGGAGCACCGTGCAGCACTCCTTAGTCCAAAGAAGTGTATGCACCCCTGTGACCCAGCAATTCCACAGCCGGGTTTATCTCCCAAGTTCTCACGGTTCAGAGGAGACATATATGAGGGTGCCCATGGCAGCTCTGTTTGTGGCTGGAGAGAGCTGGAAACTTTCTGGGTGTCCATCCCTGCGGAAGTACAGAGGGGAAACACTGGGGAGGGCCTCCATGGGGTCGGCTGCAGCAGATGGGAGCCATGGATCAATGTACGCATGCTAACAAGGAAAGCCCTAAGAACACAATTGATGTAAATTATAAATATATGCACTCAAAATGAAAATAGTCAAACAAAAAGATAAACTTTAGTATACTTTAGCCATAAGAATGGTTACCTCTGTGGGGAAGCAGAACAGGACCAAGACTCGGGAACATGAATGAATGAATAAATAAATAAATGACTGGAACAAGGGGTGGGGAGCAGAAGAAAGTGGAGCCAGTGACGGCTGAGAGCTCTGTCCCTAGGAAAATGGGCATAGGCACAGCCACATGAGGCCGGCACCTGACCCAGGGGTTTCACACGCTTCTCTGTGCCGTGGGCCATGGATTTTTAGCAGAGTCAGTTGGACATGTTGAAGCAGGGTGCCTTGTATGCCTGATGATAAACATGTGAAACTAGACAACAGCTGTTCTATCCAACGACTTCAAAAGAGCCCGTAGCTTTGTCCCTGCTTGAGGCATCAAACCTCCCACCAGTGCCTCATACCCCTGGCTCCCTGTCGAAGTGACCATGGAGCTTGTAGACGCCTGCCGACGCCTTGGCCGGCCTCCCCACACATTCACTCGGCTACATAGAGCCGGAGCATCCGTTTGTTTAAAGGCTCTCACCTGCCACGGCTTGAAAGCTGCTGCCTAGAGAGTGTCCAGAGACCTTGAGACCCAGAACCTTGGAGGCAGGAGCGCAACACCTCCACAGCTTAAACCAATTACCAGGTGGCTCGCGCACTCAAGCTTAGAACCCCTGGCTCGGGAAGAACACACTACTTCGTCTTTCATATTCTAGAATTGGCATGTTTCCTGGTCCTGGTCTGTGCCCTTCGGCCGAGGTCTGTTTCCAGCAGGGGGTAGGTTGGGTGGAGGTGGCAGAGATGCGGAGGTCGTGGTCTTTGGAAGCCTCCTAATACAGAGCTCACTGAACTCTGGTGCAGTGGAGCTCTGACAAGCCGTGTGACAAATGTGCTTTGGGGTTCAAACACATTGAAATCGCGCAGGATGGGCTGGTGGTGCTGGTCGCCCCATCTTCCCTGAGGCCGTCGAGCAAGGGACTCAATGAACTCCCACAAAGCTTCCCTCTGGAAAGAGGTTTTCCCAGCAGTAAATCAGTCTTTTTAAGTCAAATGAAAAGTTGGGAGACCTGCCTACATTTTAAAAAAGCGTCACATCTGTTTAATGTTACTGTAATAACAATCATTAAAGGAATGTTCGGTACCGGGAGGTTTAACCGAGGACCTACCCCCCTCTCAGGCTGAGAGCTTCGTCTGCGTTCGCAGAGCGTATTCGGCTATGAGCTCACAGGCTCACAAGTGCTTCAGGCAGAGGGCTAAGCGAAGACGTTTTTATATGAAAACGTAGAAGTGTGAACCAGTGTTCCCACAGCAGACATCAAAATAAGTTCCCACGGGCACTTATGGGGTGATCTCCACGCCACTCTTGCTTTAGGGCCTGGTCCACAGGAACCTGATCCCCTCCCCACGCCGGCTCCCGTTCCCTCGGGCGGCCGGGAGCATCGCGTGGACCGTCTCGGGGAGAACCGGCCAGTCCTCAGAACACGGACGTGCGCCAGCAGGGTTTGCTCAGGGTGGCATTAAGTTACTTTTTCCTAACTCTACTGACTGCCTAGTCTCGTCTCTCTAAAAGTCCCCCATGGCCGGGACCCAGTGGCCTGGCCCACCATTTTATTCCTACTTCTCAAACGCCAAATAACGGCACTCAGTGGTCCTAGTGTTGTGACATCACGTTGGCAAAGTCCAGGAGAGAAGGTCTCAGAACTCGTGGCCCCGATGCCCGGGCCTTGGGCCAGCCCAGCCTCTCTGGCCCAAGGTAATTAACTTCTAAACCCAAATGTACGATCCCTTCTGGTTCCCCCAGCTCCCAAGAGTGTAGGAGTTGATTTAGAGTTGCAGGATGGGACCATGGACTGCACACACGTCTGCGTTACTTGTACAGTGGCACCTCGGTCTCCGAATGTGATCCGTTCCGGAAGCCCGTTCGAGTTCCGAAATGTTCGAAAACCGAGGGATCCACAGCCGACAGCCGGGCCTCAGGATCTTGCCCTCAGCGGAAGCCGTGTGGCATGTTCGACTTCCGAGGCGTGTTCAAAAACCGAAGCATTTACGTCCGGGTTTGCAGCGTTCATAACCTGAAATGTTCGCCAACAGAGACGTTCGAAAACCGAGGGACCACTGTAGGAGGGTTTCCTTCCCTTTCTATACCTGCACCCTTTGCGGCCCTCACAGGGGGTTTCTAGCCCCTCCCAGCTCTGGCCTCAGCCTAGGGAAAGCCTGCCTGTGACAACAGAAACTAGACACTGGCCCCCGAATAGGAGGTTTGCCCTTCGCCGAATGAGAGCATGTGAGCCAGTTCTTCAGCCACTGTTTCCGCAGAAGACAACTGCAGCTGAAAATCACTGCGTTCTCAGGCATGACACCCTCCTAGTGTAGAGCAGCGTGGGGAGGGGCTGGGACCCCCGCCTGGCGAACGCCCCTCTGCTGCGCAGATCTCTCACACAAACCCAATCCCTCGCTCGCCATTAAATAGCAAGAGGAGAAATAAACAAGATTAACTGCAGCTGGAAAGAAGTCCTCGGCGACGTGAACTCACCCAAGACAAGCGCCCCTTCCTTCAGCTGGATCCTTCAGACGCAGAGCCTAAACCCAACAAATCTCACGGCACCATCTGGAAATAACGTCCATGACAAATAGGAGGCCCCTGGTTCCCGTTAGACTTCAATGGCAACTTTATTATTTTCCCATTTGTCCTTTGTATGTATGTACACCTGTCTCCTGAGCCAGAAGTATAAACTCTGAGAGCAGAGAGCAGGTTAGAATCTTCTCAGCCGCCCCACAGTTTTTAAGACAGCACTGGCCTCAGAAATGATACTTTTGCCTGAGGGTGACAATTTGAAATGGACTCTGGGAAACCTTGGCAGTCAGGAAAACTGCTGGGGCCTGAGTGTGTCTCTAGGAGGGGAGAGTGCAGCCACGGGCTTCTAGAGAGTCGGGGAAGGGACCTCTCAATGGGAGACAAGAGAAGGCAGCCATCCTCAGCCGGAAACGAGATGAAATAGAAAAAGAACTTGTTATTTTTTAAAACGTATGGGAAATAAAAGGTGCATCTTCATTGCAAC